TATACCTAGAAAATGAAAACATTTTTGTTATTTTAGCAAAGGAGAAAAATTATTAGTTTTTATTTCAATATATAGGTACTTAATCAACAGTAAAAATAAAATTAAAGATAGAAAATAGATGTAATACATAAACAAGATTGTATCATTGTCAAAACAAATACATATATATTTGAAATTAAAATGCTAATCGCGTTATTAAAAAAATCAATCTTTTCGAAACAATTTTTTACAACATTCGACATTATTTAGGAACTTTTCAGTAGTATGAATTATATCGAAGTCTGCATCATGTTAAAACATACATTTTTAACTCAAATTTCGAATAAAAAACACAGTCATTAGAGTTAGAAGTACGAATTTAAATTATTCATTAAAAAAAAAGACGATAAAGTTTATCATTAGTATCAAAATAACTGCTATTAAAAATTACTATTTTACTATTCTTGGATAGACTTGGATTCGAACCTGCTTTTTTCGAGCGATTTTTGGGGGCAGACTGTAGAGAAATAAGACGCATGAATAACCTGAAAAATGTTAGAAATAATGAATTAGTTGCTTATGTTCTTCAGGTTGTTTGTGTTGTTCCAGGCTGAAAATCTTCTCTTAGATTCCAACAACAATATAAAGATCGCCGATTTCGGCTTTTCGAATTACTATACAACCGGAGGGGTGTTATCGACGTGGTGCGGATCGCCACCTTACGCCGCCCCCGAAGTTTTTGAAGGAAAAAAATACACCGGTCCCGAGATCGACATATGGGTATGTAAAACTTTGCCCTTTCTGTGTATTTCTTTTGCTCATGTCCCCCTTTTCCAGAGCCTGGGTGTAGTACTTTATGTCCTCGTTTGTGGAGCTTTACCGTTCGACGGATGCTCGTTGCCAGCCCTCCGCGATCGTGTTTTGTCTGGTAGATTTAGGATTCCGTATTTTATGAGTTCTGGTAAGTCATATTTAGGCTTCCACTTACGTCAATGATAAAATCAATGTTTATTCAACGACAATTACGCACGTACATCAATTGTTTATTTGCCAATCCAATCGCGATCCCTGATTTGGCACAAAACTCTGTTCAATTGGTGGTAAATTGAAGGGCGGGGTTTTGGGGCATAGCCGGCTCTTCGGAAATTTTCCCCGATTATTTTTAATGCGGGTACTTATTTTCAGCGAGGTTTTATTTATGCATATGGTAGGTTTGCGATACGAAAATAAATCGCAGATGATAAAAATAGAAATTTTTTGTTTTGGTTGGGTGCAAATGGAAAGAAAGCGTAACGACGGTCTATTGTTTCTATTATATAGCAGTTTAGCGTTCATTTAGCAATTGCGTGCGCCCGCCTGTGACGCATTTTGTGACGTCAATGTTGAACTCGGGTGGGTGGATGGACGTACTGACACCCTGACTTTTAAAACTATTCCAAACAGGGGGTGAGTGACGTACTCCCGAAAGGTCAGCGCAGGCCAAGGATTTTTTGTCAGCAAACAACAAAAACTCTCCCCTGATACAGCGTGACTGAATTACATCAACGTATTCGGATTATTTGTAGTCACAAATAAGAAAACGAAACTTTTCGTACACTAAGCCTTGATTTTGTTACTACACTACACTAGATTACGACTACTTGAGACAGTTTTTGAAATCACTCGATAACAAATTCTTGTTATTTTTATCAAAAAATTCAGAGAGGAAAAAATCGAAAAAAGAATTGATTCCAAATAACCATATTTTCTTGTATTGCAATTTTTAAGCTCCCAAACGTACATAAAAATCAAAACATAATGTTTTTCGTAATCTGTCTGCATTTCTGAATTCCTAAATATTCTGTCTTTTTTCCAGACTGTGAATCTCTCATCCGAAAAATGCTAGTGTTAGAACCCAACAAACGCTATAGCATATCTCAGATAAAAAAGCACCGATGGATGCAAATGGCGATTCCTCCCAGCCTCCCGCCTTTGATTCCCGCCTCTCCAACACAACCAAACGAACAAATCCTTCGCCTGATGCAAAGTCTGGGGATCGATAGTTCGAAAACTCGAGAGGTAAGTCCTCAACACCCTTAAACCATCAACAATTGCACGTCTTAATTACAGTCAATACGTATCGGAAGTTACGATCATCACGCAGCGATTTATTTCCTTTTGCTCGACAAATTACGCCATCAGCTAGTAGGGGGCGAGAATCAGACAGGTGTGCGAGAGGTCCAAAGACGTCGGCCTTCGAATATCGCTGAACAGGCGATGAGGAAGATCGGGAGGGCCAGCACGAGCGAAGACTGTAGAAGGTTACTCCAACATTCGACAACGGCACCGACAGCTAGTAACAGTAAAATAAATGCAGGTACGCGAACTTGCGATTCGCCCCCTATTCACGGAATAGACGCGGCTAAGTTGCTAGCCGCCACCAATAGCGAGGATGCGCTCAAAATACTGAATCAGGCTGCCACCACCACCTTCAGCATGTCGACGGAAGCGACCAAACTCATGTCCACGTTGCAAATGTCGGCGATACCAACGGCCTCCACCGAAACCAGTTTCAACCATCAGCACTACCCATATGGGCATGGGCCGCAGCACGTCGACGTACCAGACACCAAAGGCTCCCTGGGACGCTTCTGCACGAGGTTAGTTAAAGCAAATTTTACATTTTTACAGAGTACAGTAATTTTATTGAATTTTTTCCAGTGGTTACCGCAGCGGCGAGATCCAGACCCAATACTCGAGCTCGACGGACGAAGGCGTCGAGACCGACCTCGAAGACCACACTCCTAGGTTAAGCTACGCATCGTCAAGTTCCTCAAGCGGTGTAGTGACAAACTTCAATACATCGAAAAGCCTCAGCCAAAATTTAAGTTGTGATAGTAACTTCGAAAGTCTGGAGTATCCATTATCGGAATCCAGCGAACTCGCCAGCAGTCTCCCCAGCTGCACCACCATGGGCAAGCCCGACCCCATCACGACTCATACGAGCTACACCCTCGCCCCGCGCCCCATCCTCCACAAACACAATCCGCTCGTCCATATGTCGAGCTTCAAAACCGCGAGGGGGCTCAATCGATCCCCCGTCGACTTCCGCGAAGGTCGCCGAGCCAGCGACGGTCTCGTCGCCCAACAAGTGACCGACACCACGGGAGTTGTAGCCTTCAATTCTCAAAAATTGAATGAAAACTGCAAAGCTAAGGGGGTTCTCGAGCTCCACTTGGTCCAACGCGAAGCTCAACGCCTTCAAAGTCAATACCAAGCTCGCGAGCCTCCCGAAGAAGTCTCTCAGAGACAAAAACAACACACGCAGTACCTCCAACCCAGAGCTAACAAACGGGTCAGCCTCCCTGATAACTTCAGCTATAATACCCCCGCGGAACCTCTCCAAACAGCTATGCAACATCGACTCTTGCAACAGAAACGCCAAATTTTGCAAAAACAGTGCGCCATGTCGACTCACCAGCCCCCCAATGCCAGCGTGGAGGCCGGGGGGCCTTTGGCAAGGAGACAGATGTTAAGACAAGCGAGTTACAAAATTGCCCAACAGCAGCAAGTGCTGCCACCACTGCCGCTAAGCGAGACGGAAAGCAAAGATCTAATGGCGTTTCAAGCACTTGTAGAGAATTCGGGAGAGGCGTGGAGTACTCTCCCGGGGAATATGAGCTCTTGCCAAATTTCGGACGGGGGGGCGCAGGCTACACCCAGCTGGCAAAACACAGCCCCCTGGACTCAGGTACCGCAACGTTTGTGATGGGTGATTTTCAGCGATATTTTAACGGGTTAATAGAGGGCGGGCGGGATTTCGTCATTTTGATTACAAAAAACATATTTATTTCAGCATAACAAAAAAATCCCGCTCGTAGTTTTAATATTTCTTAAATAAAAAAACATATCTAATGAAAAAGTCGTCTTCTCGCCCTCTGTTGCCGCCGAACCGTTTGAAAAGCGCCTAATTGCACTGCGAGGTTTTTGGTTGCACCGGAAGTATTAATTTCCTAGTCGTTTTTAGTGGCTTTTGCATGGTGCAAATTGTATTTCTAGCGATTTAGTACAAATTTATGTTATTTAATTTTAGGTCAATATTATTTATATTGTGCAGCTAAAATAAACCAATTAATTACTTTAATCGTTTGTTTTTTTGTTGTTGTTTTTGTGCATGTCGTGTTTGATTTAATGATGTTATTTATGAATACAGGGACCTGCTTTCCCTGCCAACCCATGGCCACCATTATTACCTCTGAGCGAAAGTCCCATACTCGAACTTACCGAACAAATGGAATCGATGTGAAGAGATTCTTAGTATTTTGTAAATTATTTATTCGTTTTTTATAACTCAGGTGACGATGACCATGTCAATTCGTTGCACTGGCCACGATTCTAGTCATTTATTTAAAAAAAATTGACATTCCAAGTGAAGAACGAGGTAGTGAATAATAATCAAAGTTAGAATTGTGCGTAGAAAGTTATGTAGGAGAACGAACAACAATCAAATAATCAAAAAATCAGACTGTAATAATAAGATAATAAAACAAAAACTGTCACGTAGCTCTTAGAAATGGAATTTATATAAACGAGCTCACATTTGTGTGTTGTGGTGTTTTTCTGAACATCCTGGTATCACATATCACGCATTATATCACTGGAAAAAATCGTATACAGGATGATCAGTCTAACGTCTTTTTTATTTAGAATGAATCATAGTTAGCTTTGAAAAAGCCGTTAAGTAGAAAGCAGCAATAATATATTTGTATATTTGTAAACGTGCCTGGTTTCGGTTTGAATGTTGCTTTTGTTATTTGTTTATATTAAACTCAGTATTATTAAAATGTTGTTTCATTCAACCTCCACCCCCTAAATACATAGGATTATGTAGCGGAATAAAAAGGTTAAATGGTGAGAAAAAATAATAAAATCAGACTTATAAAAAATATCAAGTGTATTATGACACTTCTTGTTTGTATATATTACAGCGCTAAGTCGTACAGTTAACTTCTTAAAATATATTTAACAAGCCTAAACTTAAATTAATCGGAAAACCAATTGGAGAGACCCCAGTATAAGCCTTAAGGCACTACATGGACGGCTTACAATTTCGTAATACTGGACCATAATAACGTTTAAGTAGATCGAACCAAGAGAGCTGTCTTAATTAATATTTGGTATGACTTAAATTACGCAAAAGATTGAGACTTACCTAAATAAATATCAACATATATGCATTAAGTACAGATCAATAATTAGAGTGTTTGGCGCCTCTCATTAGCGGCACTAAAAGTGCAGGTGGCCCTGCTTGTCTCAAAAATGGATGCGCGAGTAATTCCTGTGCTGTAGCTCTCTGTGCAGGATCTCTGACAAGCATCCTATCTAAGAAACTTTGTAGCCTTGCTGAGACTTTATGACTATTTTTCAATTTCGGCGGCGGCATTTCTCTAATTCTCCTCATCGCCTGTAGAGGCGGCTCATTGAAAAATGGCGGCTCGCCATCCACCATTTCTATAACCATAATCCCCAATGACCAAATATCAACTTCCGGTCCGTACGGCAACCGACTGATCACTTCCGGCGACATCCAATACGGCGTCCCAACTAAACTCTTCCGTTTGGGCAACTCCTGAGAGACTTGGGCACAGAACCCGAAATCGGAAAGCTTAACTCTCCCATCCAAAGCTAATAAAATCGAATCTGATTTGATATCACGATGGATGACGCCCTGGGAGTGCAGATAAGCCAGAGCTTTGAGACACTGCTTGCACACAGTGGCGATTTGTTCTTCGTCCATACGGGAATGAGTGACGATGTCGGTGAGGGCGCCACCTTCAAGGAACTCCATTACGACCCACAATTCGTCGTTGACGAGATACGAATCAAACATTTCGACGATGTTGGGGTGGTGGTAGTCGCGCATTATCACCACTTCGTTGAAAAGGAGTTCGCGACGTTGCTGTTTTCGGAGATCCATTTTTTTTACGGCGACTTGACGGCCGGTGGTGCGGTCGTGGGCGATGCAAACGGTGCCGGTGGAGCCCTCGCCGATTTTCACGAAACGCTCGAGGTTCTCGCGCGGGTCCTTTGAAGAAACCACCATCTGGAGGGCAGCACGGAACTGAAAAAAAAAAAACGCACATTCAGACTCATTTCAACTTTTTTAACAATCGACAAAGTAGAAAAATGTAGCCAATATTTCACCTTTTTAATAACGGAATGAGTCACTAATTATTATTGCATTTATGTTGTAAACATATAATAAGTATGAAGTAAGGTAAATAAAAGCTCTGGCCAAGAAAAAGCCAAGAAAAGAAGTAAGCGTTTTTGATTCACTGGTCGCTTTCAGAAAAAAAAATTGGTGTTAACTGATAAATGAAGACCTGTAAATAATTATTTGTTTTTTGTTTATTTTTATTCTGTTTTGTTTATTTTTAAAATGTATCTTTTTTTCCTACAATTTAATAAGTACCAATTTCTCTTGATATCCCAGTTTCGCCATTAAAACTAGCAGCATATTTTTCCGTTACTATGGGGGACGATGTCGTGAGAAAAATGTATTTTTTAAAACTCCCTGTTTGTTCTTCAATTTTTTAAATGGCATCTCATTATAAAAAAAATCCTACAAAAAATTGAATCGATAGTTGTAATTCTTAAATCATTCTCTTTGTCAAAAAAAAAATTAAACAAATATTTTCGCTAAACTCAAAAAATAAAAAAATGTTATTCTTAAAGAACAATCAAATTTTTAATATTTTACGTAAAATTATTCTGACAGATTTGTATAAAAAAAATGTATGAAAATAATTATTAAAGTACAAAAGTGGAAATGTATTTTTTTACAATGAATTTAAAAAAATGTCTTGTCACTCATATTCTATTTTTCTTTTTTAGTCCTTAATAATCAATTAAATCATAATTAGAAACTAAAATATTATTCTAGAGAATAAAAAATGGTTAATAAGAAACAAAATTATAATTTGATAGTAAAGTTCACGTCATTTTCCCTTACATTTTAACATTGTATACAAAAAAAAAACAGGTTTTTCTTTTTTTTAAGATTATGACCAAATGTGTGATCAATTTTCCCTTAGCAACCCCAGTTTGAACAATCGACCAAACCTGTTCGTGTGTCAGCCTTTGTTCGTGATGCTTCGTCGCAGTCTGTGCCACCGCCGCCCCCGGCATTTGCCCCATCTGCCCCCCATTCTTCAAATTCTGATTTTGATCGTGCCTCACCCCATACCCCCCCTGTTGTAAACTCTGATGCGACCCGTGGCTCGAATGCGAGTGCGCCCCCAATTGCGACAGCCCCGCTGACGCCATGGAACCGGCTGGAGACACTTGAGGATGCTCCCTGATTAACCCCCCATAGGTTTCCTGATTCCCATTCAAATGATGGGGCATTTCGTGATTGCTCAATGAGCGCTCCGCCGGCGAGCTCTCCCTAACCTGGGGCTTGCCCATACTGGGGTCTCTCCTCATGGAGGTATATTGTAGTATCTGCTCCTCGGGGACTGCCGGAGGCACGTTGGTGTTCCTGTGACGGAGTCTCGGGGGGCTGGATGAACGTAATGAATTACTGCGGGCCACGTTTGAAGTTTTAGGGAGGAGAATCCCGTTTTGGGGGTTTTTACCAAGGCGGCTGTCGGATCTGTGGTCCCCTCTGACTATAGTTTTCAGGTCTAGGATTTCCGTTGGGGTTATTTCAGAGGGGTCCACAAGGGGCAAAGGCCGGTTTGTCGATTTGAGGATTTGGTTGTTGCCAACGATCGAAGCCCACTGTAACGGAAGCCCCACATATCGCCCTTCGCGTTTATCAAACCCGGTATGAACTCGATGCTCGAAGTTTGTGGGGGGCGAAATCTGAGGTTTCTTCTTCTTCTTTGAAAACATTTCCGTTTGAGACGAAATCACAAGTAGGTTGCTACGCCCCTTTACACCGTTTTTTACGACCAACGGTAACAGTGTCAACACACATAACCTGATCTCGTTTGTTTATTTGATACGTCACGAGTTATTTTACCACTTTTTTAGCATTGTAACACGAGATAAGGCACTAAATTTTAATTATTTTTTGATTTTACGTAAGATTAATCACAAAAAAAGGGAGAAAATAGTAAAAACATGACACCAAAATACACAACTTCGATGATTTAAGATTTAAGCGACTCGAGCGCCACCAAATGGTGACTTTCACAAGCGTGCTGGAATTTGTTAAGGTGGGTTCATACGAAATTACAAGAAGTTAAAAAGTTGCGTAACGCAATATAAATCACTTGGAATGTATAATTAAGTGCGATTTTGACTTACAGTCAAATTCAAAAAGAAGTGGTCGTCACTGTCATTTCGAAAATTAATAAATAATAAATAAATAATAAATAAATAATAAATAAATAATAAATAATTTACATTTTCACAACAAAATTGAGTAAATTCTAAATAATGTAAGTAAATTCGTTTATAGGCACTTACCAATAGATACTTTATGGTAAATTATTTTCTAAAAAAGTGCACAATTATTAAAAATCGAGCAAAATAAAATTGTTTAAGTAATTATGTTCATTCATGCATTAAGTTGTATTAATTTTTATTTTTACCTAATTAATTTTAATGACAATGATAAGTTTTCATGTAGATATAAATTCAATCAAATAAAAATCAAGGCCACCTTGATAAAAAATTGCGAAGTGGAGTTGTGAAAACTTATTGAGATATCCTTAACGCCAGCTGATTTTTTCTCTTTAATTTATGCTTCGTTAAATCTTAATTTTCTGGTGAACACAATTAAGCTTTTTCTTATTACTGTCCCAAATATGCTCAAACCGAGGAAATTGACGTCACTCTGACGCACCGTTTAGTTAATTTTGGACCATCAGACCAAATCAGGACCAGATTTAAAGACATAAATTTTATTAAAATCTAACACAAAAAAAATGTAATAAACAAGAATGAAGGAAAAAAAAATAAGTAGGATTAAGGCTCCCTAAAATCGACAATTTGAAATAAAATATTAAAAAATAATTTTTCGACATTAACTTATTGTCTAAAAGATATTTGTTAGCTTAGAGTGACTGTTGTTACAGCATCGGGCGGGAAATTTGAATCGTGTATAATTTGGCGTAACAATATGTCTATTGTTTGGTATTAATTCATTGTGATTGTTTATTTTTTGTTAGTCAATAACCTTCCAATGGACGTCACTAATGCAGTAAATAAAACAAATCATTTTATCAGTCTATAAATAAATTGGAATCGCATTTGCGGCATGTTAATCAATTGTTGGTGGTAACCTTTGGCATATTACTCAAAAAAGTGTCGATGTAATGATCGAAAGTCGCTCAAAAATAATAGAAAATTTCCTCTGTAGCATTTTGTGACGTCAAATAATTCTTCTAATTCTCTTGTTTACTGTGTGTTTTTATCTCTATTATAATACTTTAATATTAGATATGTAATAAAAATAATAAAATAAACAGAGCTTAAGTAAAACATGTGCGTAATTAATATTTATTCGGATAGGGTAATTGAGTTCAGCTTAAATTTAAGTGGCGCGCGCATGCGCGTCTTAAAAATGTGACAGACCAATATTTTTCTTTACTCTTTTAGTCCATTAGCATTAGTTGACGGCCGGTGTCTGCGTCGAACGTTCTGTGAAAGTCTGTGCGATCTGTTCGAATCCACGTGACCGTCGTCTGGAACCACCCTCCCCTACAATGTTCCCGCAACGAGAATGACCCAAAGGTACCAAAGGGAATCCAATCTTACTTCATTGACCCATTTTTCCATCATCATTTAACAAATCGGGATAGACAGCTCGAAGGTCGCTGCTTACCTGCGAAATGCTATATTTTCTACAAACGTAATTGCATTCCAAATACAGAAATAAATTAATTGACTCCTATTAGGTCATCATTGTACGTGAATGTACCGGATATTGTTAATAATGTCTCATTTGGGGCTATTTATATCGCGGTGGATAAATTGCCACCCGCGAGGAGAGGTACTCCAAGGCGCAAAAGAGACCACACATACTGTGGGTGGTGTGTGCAAAATTTAAGCACGTGGGCTGAGACTAGGTTCACCCAATTATGGGTTTTTAAGGTTTTTAGTGTTCAGCAAATTTTTTTCTTTCTTGGTTTCGGTTTTTTAATTTTATTAAAGCTTTTTTTTCTTTCAAAAAGGTGTTTAACTTATATTTATTATTTTTAGATCAAGAAGTACTCAACACACAAAAAAGTAAACTGTCTTTATCTCTGTTTTACTTATTACACAGTTTCAGCGACGATACCATTTTCTACAATAAATTACAGTACAAGATTTTATTCTGCTTTGATTTAGAAGGACACCTCTTTTTTATCATTTGGAGATGAACGAGTCTGGAGCAGATTTCCATAATATGTACCTATAGGTATATGTATTTAAAAAAAATATGATAATGATACATTTGTTCCATTTTTGGATTTACAAAAATTCTTATTTGTTTCTCAGGACTTAGGGCCGGCGCAAAAAAATTAATATTTCTAGTTGAATAAAACATTGACAGCATAAACGGTAGAGGATTAGATAAAAAATACACTTCAATTTGATGCGTTGCTATTGTTCAAAATCTTTAGCGTATGGCAGTGAGACTATAGAAACTAATTTTAAAAAAATGAATCAGTGGGGTATTTTCTTTATGATAAAATTCATTTTTATAAGGGTAATTGTTAAAAGAGAATAATGCAAAAATTGATAGGTTTTGAATAATTAACATAATAATATTGACACTGTGGGAATTCGGGAATTTATGATCAAGTCTTATATTCAGGATTTTTATTATAAAACAATTTTCTAAGGATCGGTTTCTGAAACGATTTATCGTTAGATAAATTTTATGGTTCCATTATTGCTAAAGAAACAGCAACACGATCAGTGGTACTTTAGCAACTATCGAAACGATAAAATTTATCTAATGTTCCAGAAACCCAACATAAGAAGAAGCATTTTTTTATACCATTTTAAGGTCGCTAAACATTTGTATACAGTAAAATGATTTGTCAAATTGTACTGAAATTTGTTACATGGCAAAAAATTAAATTCTACCGTTTGAAATATTTTTGAAATCACCTTAATTTATTTTGGAGATTTTTTCAATAGTACGAGGGGCCAGATTTATTAATTTGGAAAAGTGCATTTTTTTAGAAAAGTTAGTGATGGAATTACATTTCAATAGAAAGTAAAAACTACTACAATTAAAAAAAGTAATGTGTCCACGACAACGTATATGTTTCAATACAAAACTTATTATACTTGTTTTACTTCAATACATTGATATATTAATTAGTGTAGTTTTTAATCATGAATTACTATTTTTTTAAATGCAGTTGGACGGAATATATTTTTTTATTAAATAAATTAAAACGTCAACTTCTTTAGTATCAAAAATCGCGCTAAAAATCAAAAATATTTAATAGTGGTGAACAAAGTAGATAATGTATTCATGCATATTATAACTATTATTCATTCATTCGCGTTCCGCTCGTTTTCTAAAATTTTTTGTGAATAATTAGGAACCATCTTTATACAGTATGTCTTCGGATTGGGTTTACAAGAAGAAAAAAAAATTATCTTTGATTTGACGCCAAAATTGCAAAGGAAAAACATTTTTTGCTTCACCTAAAACGAGCAAATCTGTACTTAAACTTCATTATTCTGGTTCAGTGAAAAGAAAAGTTAATTTTTCTCTAGATTTTCGACTAATAATTATAATAAATAGAATAATTTTTCTCTGCTTTTTTAAGTCCTATCACATTGGCGGTTTTATTTAATTGACAACTATATGTCACTTTGACATTTAATTTATTAATTAAATAATGATAATTCTTGTTAAAATGACTTTGGTTTTTATCTTAAAGCTGTTTCTTTGAGTTGCTATTTATTAAAATTATGTATTTCACAAACATTTTTGTTATTTAACTTGTGTAAACTCATTTGTCAAAGTGACATCATTGTCAAAATAAATAATAAAACCGCCAATGTGATAAGACTTTAAAAGCAGAGAAAAATTATTCTACGTCCAAAATCAAGAGAAAAATAAACTTTTCTTTTAACTGAGTTAGAATAATGAAGTATAATTACATATTTGCTCGTTTCAGGTAAAGCAAAAAAAAGATTTTCCCCTGCAGTTTAGACATGAAATCAAAGATAATTTTTTTTTCCTCTTGTAACTCAATCCGGGGACATAATACTGTATGTTTGTTGGATAACACGTTATTATTTTTTATTCAACTTTCTTTTCCTATAACATTTAGTAAATATGTTGAACCAAGTTGATATTTTAAACAAAGGTAGCTTTTTTAAATCTTTTTTTTTAATACAGTTTTATAGCTCAGTGAATATAGTAAAACTGCTCTACTTACTCAAAATTGTATTCTCGTAGAAATTTTGTATATGAGAAACCGTTTAGTTCAAGAAGTACCTACTCATAATTTGTATACTCGTAATAGTTTACTTTTTGTTTGGTTAAAAAAACATTCTCTAATTAGATCTTAAAGGACAATGTATGCTTAAAAATTGTTGCAAAAAGGCGTTTCCTATGAAACATTTGTTTACAGTACTTAATTTACTTTTATAAAAACCATTCTTTATCAACAACTTTAATTAAAGTTGTTTACTACCAAAACAATAACAAATATTGAAAAATCAAGTTGGTTTAAGTATATACTTCATGCTCTTGCTTTGCTTTTTTGAATTTTCGATAAATTTAAAGGTTCCATAAATTATGGAAAATATTTCAATAAAAAATGCAATCAAACCACAATTTATACAACTTTTCTATCCGAAAATCCCAAATTTCTCTAGTTATGTGAAACCCCAGACGTTTGCAAATACCTCGACTTAATCAAAATCAATAGAGTTTTTGATGGTCGTACGATCGCTTACTTTGCAATTTATCAACTATACAACAAAACTAGAGAATTTTGAAACTTCTACGTCCAGAGGTCATCTAATCTTTTCTTTCTTAATTTTAGGTAAAATGAAAAAATCACGTGTGGTGTTATCACATCTCGCTGTGTAATTAAATCCCAGCGTATAATTTTTCATGTTTATGCATAAATGAGTGACTCTTGAATACTAAAATCCAACAATTTGCTCAGATAACATTGTTCTCTCCTGATATATGTCTTTATTGCACCTTTATGGTAAAAAGCGTCATTCGTGGGTCGTACCGTTGTGCATCTTGCCACTGAGTGAGTACTAATTCAGTTTTCTTCTTTCAGACGAACCTCCGGATGATTCCGTTTTTGTAATGGAGTGGTAAGTGGCATGCCAGTTGCGAAACCTTCTGACGTCAATCTTAAATGACTTAATGTAATTGACCCACGAAGAGCGGCTAACGGGGGCCCACTTGCACTTAAATCAGTTCTTTGGTTTTATCGATAGGCTGCAATATCAACGCCATATATGCCCGAGGTTTGGCCGGATTGAGGCCAATGATAGCCGAGCAAGGCCATCGTAAGACTCCATTTCACGAGAGAAAGTCAGCAAAAGACTAGCGATAAACCCATGACAGACAGAGGCGGCTCGTGCGTCGTGTAAAATGACGAAGAGACATTATTTATTTATTTTATTCCGGACTGGAAATATTGTTTCCCACGAGCCGCCACTGGCAATAATCACAAAACAAACACGATAAGAGTCTCTTCAGTTTCAGTAATTTCTGGTCGCGTCGCGTGGAAGAGACTTCGACGTCCTGGTGGTCCTCCAAGCATCACTTCGAGGACCTCCTCAGCCATGAGATGATGGCAAACGAAGACTTGCGCGAGGTTCTTCGGCTTAAAGCCGAGCGGCATCGCGAGTATTATAAGAATTTAACAGAATGCGATAATACCGACGATCGGGTTTTGGAACCAAGTGAGAAGATGGCGCCACCGGTCGCATCCAACGTCGATTTGATCGACGACGCGACTATAAAAGAACCTAAAAGGCAGCGCCGGACTGGGGTATATGAACTCAAGTCGGGGAGCATTTTCAAAAGTGTGAAACTCCTGAGAGAGAATTATATTGCCATGCTACAGAAAACAAAAGAGAGGTTCCAGGAGAGGGATGAAACGTTGCTTGCACCCCCCAGTGGGTACAGCACTGGGACTAGCGATGACGAACGCGAAACAAAGAATAAGGTACAAAGGTGCGGAAGTAGCGACTCGGCAATGGGGCACAGCGAAGATGAAGTTTGGAGAGAGAAGCAAGACGTAAAGAGCCCCTACAGCCCTCGGGGGTCCATTGATCACGATAATGTTCCAAGTCGTACCCTCCTTGAATCAAAGTGCGTGCCACTTCCGGTCGACCGGAAGTTCAGTGACTGTGCCAGTGATTGTGACTATAATGACAGTCGGAGGCATAGTTGTTACACCGATGACGGAGAGGAGCCTCGTTGTCGGTACTGGAGGACCCCTTCGGTGGTTGTGAGTGATTATTCGGACGATATCATGGGACTCACTCTTGAAGACATTGAGTACATCCGGAGTCAACGCAAAGAGTCCTCATCACCGGACTCAAGTCTGCATAGTTCTTGCAGCAATTTGAATTATTGTGGCTCGACGATTAGTGGTCTCGAGTCGGAGTATGTCCTCAGGAAGCCGTTCCGGAAGTCGTCGAATTGTTCCACATGCTCAACGTTGAGTGACGACGAAGGGGATAATCTCCAGGTGAAAAAAGAGGTAAGTTTGAAATTTCGCGAAGAATGGCAATAAATTCTGAGTGGAATCCGGATTAAGAAATAAATTGTTGCGCTCGGTTGCACGGCTATTTTAAGACTTTTAAACACTCGGAGCCAATGTAAACGGAGTAAATTTATTCTCAAAGGTTTTATTTGGATGTATAAAAATTAACGAATAATAAACACTCGTAAGGATTATGAAACGTTTTTTGTAACAAAAGAAATGCAATTTTAAAAATTTGCTAATAGAAAATATCAAATGGTTTGCTTTAAAATAAAAATATTGGACATCTTTTTAAATAGAAGAATAGTAAAAAGGTAAAAAAGAGACACACAGCCAAAACGGTTAAAAAAATTATTTCTTTTTTTTGGGGGAATTTACAACAGCTAGGGAGGGAAACTTGTATGTATTATTAAAAAATTGTAATTTGCAAATTTTTTGTTTGTTTTTTTTTGTTTCCATAAAGTTCCTGGTGTGCGTAAGTTGCAATCTTTCTGTGTGTATTCTGTGCAATTATGATTATCATGTGATGATCAATTTTTTGACCTATTTTACCTAACAAAAATCATTAATGAATTTAGTATTTTTCAACGTCGCAAACGGCAATATAATAACCCACCCTTTATATGTATGTATGTATACGTGCTACAACAACATAAGATTCATAAATCAATAAGTGTCCAATTAAAATAGATACTTTATAAAATAATTGTTTAACATTTCATTATAAATGAATAATGATGGGGCTTGAAATTAATTATTTTATCACAAATTTGACCTGTGGGTCAAGAGAGCATTTTCACTACACTACGTGACGAAAATCAAGTAAAATATGATGAATAGACTAAATTGGTCAATTAACTTAGAATTTTATGTTAAAAAAGAGATTCAGAATTAATCCGACCAAATAATGCAAAATGGTGTCTATTATTTTCTATGTAAAAGAAAGGTTTAATGGGCACAGTTCTGATAAAAGTTTTTTTTGTATTCTTATAATTAATATGCTATGTAATTGAAGACGATCTTGTCGAAGGAAATTAACGAAGGAACATTTTTTTATTAACTAAAAGAATGTAAATTTAAAGTTCATAATTTGTAAAATTTAATACGTTTGTGATTTTAAAAGGGTAATTAAATTTTCACAAAGCCGCGATAGAGATCGGCCCGGAATCGTTTCTCGCATGTTATAACGGGACGGCGTTCTCGTTTTGAAAAAATCATTTGAGGGAAATTTTTCGTTGCGCGCTATATAACCGGAAATGTAGAAAAGTTTAAATGACCGGTTCTGCAACGTAATAAAACGTTACGATTAAATTTATAAAATGTACACACATCGTAATCACCTATTTACCATCAACTACAATGTATTCCTATATTCCATCAACATATTTTTTCCATTTGGTTTTACGACTTTCGATGTGTCACCGAAATGACGATATCTTAATTATTTTCCGCATTCTTGTTTGATTTTTTTCCACAAATAAAAGATTTTTCTGTTTCGACAGATGTTACACGAAGAATTTCTTCGAGTACTATAATTTTTTATTTCATAAATCTTCACTGTATAGAACGCTATTTTTGTTGAATTTACAATTACTACAAACCAGTTTTTATTAATCGATTTCACTGGATCAATTATTACTTTTAATTAATTCAGTTAATTAGAGGACGTCCCGTTCATATAAATTAATTAATTAGAAGTAAGTAGAATAAGACTAAAATTAGGAATTGGTTTAAATGATATTTTAATTATTTTAATTGATCGAATTCAAATTAATTTGAAAGAATTTTTATTAATCAAATTTTACGAAAATTTACAATGCCTCCTGGGGGGCCTACGACTCTAATTTGTACTTCCTGTAGTAAATCGCCATCTTCGCCATTAAAGGCACCGTCGTTTTTATTTTAATTTGAATAAAAAAATGGCCGGATGACTCCGGTGGTCCATTGTTTTTCGGCTCATCGATTTTTTTTTTGTTTTGGGAACAAATTGTACCGCTCGCGGAAAAATCCAGTCCGTTACTCTCTCATAAATATTTAGGTGTAACACGAATTTTGATTTATCGCCCTTTTCGGATTTGTTAAGTTGTCACCCTGGGCGTCAAATTGGCGTCTGATTTATACCACTTTTCGAGTACGGGCGAGTTATTTTAATTAAAGGCAATTAAGATGATGTAAGTTTTAATAAAGTCTGTGCAAAAAAATAAACGCACACCCACGGACTCGAATTAGGTACAGATAAAGTGCCGCAAGTTTGCCTAATTTGGCGGCGAATATTGCAACGATGCATACTTTACTCAGCTGTCGTGTTTATTGCAAATAAATTTCGAATTGCATTTGCGAAATGCGTCTCATTCTTCACAATGAACCATCAAAATCTTATTAGCAGCCGACGCGAGTCAAAAACTTGACGCATAAAAGCTTTATCAAGACAGAAGGTGCCGACCGAATTTGCTTACAATGTATGAATGCAGGGAGCTTTTTGCCAAGGCGAAATTCCGGACTGGAGAGTTTAATGACCATAAGTGGGGAATTTCAACGCAAAAGTTTGATTTTGATTGATTGTGACGCACGTTTAAAAAAAACACATAAAACAAGAGAAAAGGTAAAGTAAGTGGAGCTTTGACTAAAACGGAAAATAAAAATTTATTATTATACCTACCCTTATTGAGGAAGTAGGAGGAACTGATTTATAAAGTCTGTCTATGTTTGCTTGAATTTTATGGTGCAATAGAGGCAGTTAATACGATCCAGAAATACTGTGTCTGTTGGTAACAGATTTGAAAGTATTTTTGTTAATAATTTGAAACACTGCAAGTTTTGCTTGACAAATATTTGACGTACATACAACTCCTCAAAATTGTTGAGTTGTTGTTAATCAAAAGCGTACCCCAATGGTAACCTTTAAAAATTAGAGTCAGGATTGCCAACAGATTTATTCATTGTGGATCATTTTGTATTTTGGGCCTTTAGCGATATATTGTAAAGGTTGTTTTTTTTACGCTCATTAAATTCCTCATAAACTAAAGTCTGTTTTTCTTTAAATGTAAATGTCAAATAGTTTTAACGTTGGCACCCCTAACACATTAATTCATGGTAATCTTAATAAAGGAAGTTGGCAGTTCCGATTTTTGATTTAATTAAAAAAGTCATTAAACTTTAGCAAAAAAAGTCTATGAAAATTGAGAAATGTATACACAAAAGCGGGAACAAATTGGGTACCACGAATAGTTTTTAGAAATTTGAAGACGAAAAGTGTGCAAGCAGAAGTCAGAAAAAGACCACCGCTGCAATTTAGACGCAATTTGTAATGCAGGTTTGCTAAACATTTTCTAATTTTTTGTAAGAAATTGATGAAAATACAACATAAACATCAAAGAGAAAAAACGTAATTAGTAGGTCTGGATGCATCGTTTTTGAAGAACGAGATGAAAAAGTAACAATTTTGAAACTAAAGCTGAAGAAGAATTTAGAAAACGCATCAACTTTGAGCTCATTTCAATAAATTACACAAAATTTATTGCCGATATTTATAAACCCTGCTTGTAACTTTTGCAAAATAACTTTTTTCTGTACAGACACCCTGTTATATTAATGTTTTTGTACTAACAAGCTCATTTTTGTCTACAACATTGTGTGGTTCTATCAATATTATTAGCACTGATTTCTGTCTCTGGACATTAGGTAGTGATGTCTGTCCCCAGGTATTCGATTGTAAAGGCTTACAAAGAGCAAACAACCACACAAGATTCATAAAAGTCAAAATTTTGCCAACATCACAACATGAAAACATAATTACAATTTTTTAACAAATTTTTTAGGGACAAAAACAACAAACAAGCAAAATTTATGGCTATGGAGATAAGCTGCTAGCAATTTTTTTACCAAAATTTTGACTTGGTAATTTCCATTAAAAAAAATAACTACAATAGTTTGGTAAGTCAAAACCATAAAATTCCGTTAAAAAAACGACTATTTTGAAAGACGAGTACAAGAGAAATTTTTTTACAGTTTGATTTTGTGATGGTATATCTGATTAAGAATAATAATATTAATGTCTTTCTTGACTTTGATGTGTTCCTAGGGCACGACTACTTTAAACAAAAAATAGGATTTGAATTGGGGCAAAAGCAAAACGCACTTTTCCGCCTTGGTTACATTTCCTTTCCATTTTTTATTTGGTTCCTGGGCCATAAAACTGCAATTATCGTCGCTTATTGCAATCGCGTCCTTAGTTTGAATGACAGCAGCTCACACACGAACTGGTAGTATGGATAGTACGAGCCTAGGTAGGCCCGCGTCCATGTGTGGGTAGTCAGTGCTTGCTAAAACTCGGTGTTGTCTGGACCGAAATCTCGGGCCGATAAGAGCGCGTTTATCGTCCCCAGTGCAATGGTGCTAAAAAAAAGTGCGCATTTCCTCCGTGCCATCTCTTTGGGGTGAAGCCATTTTCACGGGTAATCAAAGCTCAGGTTGGAGTCGTTCCGAGCGTTCCGTTCTCGTTGGAAGCTCGTAAAAACTAACGCAAACAATGCCAGATGCTATTCGGATTATTCTCTGACGTAAATTGATCGAAAAAATGAACGTTTTGTCAACATGTGGTCGCGATCGGTGAGGGTTAGAGGGACACGTGGATACCTGAATAATTTTTCCTCAAATAAAAAATATATTAGCGAGAAGTTAATTTGTTGATTCGTGGGGCCACGAGGGAATTTTACGTTCGTCGGGAAGCCGCAGGCCGAAAGATCGTGCGATATGATTTCCACAGATGGTTGCGGTTGAATGGGTTTTAATTATTTGAGTAAATAGGAGTGCTGAGATCGGAAAATTTGCCGGTTTTGGGACCACAGAAAATATTTTTGTCCGATAAAGGTGACGTCAAACAGGCTGAGTTATGGTTTGTTGTTGTTTGCAGTAAATATTAAAATAAATCGATGAAAAAAACATTATTACTACTTATAATTATTGACGTATAAAGACATCAGGTACGAAAGAGAGAA